TAGTAGGTCAGCCCAGAGGCCTGTCTAGCCCAGATCCTGTCTCCAGCAGTGCCCCGAGGAAGTATATAAGAATAGGACATGTTTAGTGAGATCTTTCTGTGCTTAACACCTTCCTGCCCTCTGGCAGCCTCCAGATTAGGGACTTTCTGAGCCAGAAGCTGCACCCATGTTCTTGTGGTTAACAGCTTGTGCTGAATTTTCTACCTCCTACCTTCATGGTGGGAGACAGATTAAGGGTGCAGAGAGGGCTTCTTCTAATCCTTCACACTGAGGTTCAGCTAGAGGTGAAAGCAGTCAGGACTGGTGGCAGGTGCAACAGGTCTTACTGACATGGTCTGCGTGAGGAAGCGACAGGAGGCATGCCGAATTCACACCAGTAACCTGATGAACAGGGGAGACCTGTTTGCAAAGCCCTGATCCAAGTTTCCAGGTGGCGGCCGCAGCACTTTTTCCTCTACAGGGTCATGGGGAAATGAAGCTCAGCCGTGCCCTGCTCTGGCTTCTCTGTGCTGCTCCCGCTGGGTTTGGAAACTGCTCTGGGTGCTTGGCTGGCTTCGTTTCTGTGTCCAGCAGGGAGGCAGTCCTTGGTCTCATGCATACTGTGTGAGGGACCACTGAGGCTTCAGAGCATCAGAAGCAAAACTGAACTCAGTCACCAACCCTCACCCCTCCTAGCATGGGGAAGGGAAAGGCAGCTAGCTGCTCCTGCACCTCCCGAGCAGGACAGCATGGAGAGGTGATGTCCTACAAGAGGCTTCTTTAGGCTGTGTGGAAACCGTGGAACAAAAAATATGACTATGTTGCTTATGCAGGTCATAAAACTTCATATTTTAATATACTTGTCAAAACGCAGTGAAGCAGGGCCATAAAGGCAGCATGAGAAGCTTTTCTAAGCTTTATCTAACTGAAATGAGGGACTAGCAATGATTCATTTTGAGATGCCTGTTGAAACTTTTGACGAAGTCCTGGTGTTTCTGTTAAGACCCTTCCTTTGATTAAACCTGTTGTTGCTGATCTGAAAAAACTTCCCACTGGCTTTATTCTGGATCCTGAAAGCCAGGTTGTGGCTCCACAGTGTACCTGGCGTTTCCTGGAACATTTTACCATATCTGCTGGGGCTAGGACTATTACAAAATACATCTTCCCTCCAGCCTTGCAGTAGTGATACCAGTTACGTCTGGAATCCAGAAAGACAAACAGCAGCACAAAGCCAGCAGCTAACAGTGGTGAATTTAATGTTTTCATCCTGCCTTGAAGACCTGGTTGAAGAAAGGGGGATTTGAAAGTCTGTGCCTGATTCTTCCCCACCCCCCTAATTCCCAGCACAATGCCCATGGGTGTCAGGGTTGTATGGCAAAAGATGGAGTGTCGTAAAGGTCTGTCTGTCTTGGAGAACAAATGCTCTTTAGTTTCTGCTGAAACAAAACAGGTATAGCCAGGCTTATTTGCATACTGTTACCCAGAGTGCTTTTCAGGCCTGCTCTGTCCCTAACCTCAAATATAAATGTTCTGGATTTGTTTGAGGAAGGGCCCCTTTCTCACAGGGAAGTTGTGTCTTTTCTGTTTTTGCAGGTTGCTCAAAAGTTTATACCAAGAGCTCCCACCTGAAGGCACATCAGAGGACTCACACAGGTAAGAGCACCACATCATCAGGAAACTCTGCCAGCCTGCACTTCTTATGCTGTGCCTGGTAATGGTGGTGATAATGTAGCTGGGTAGATTACCTTAATCTAGGGTGGTTATTGGGGTAAGGAGCACAGTTAAGTCTATTGATATTAATGTCAAAAAAAGTCCAATGGTTGCACTGGTTTAGAGCGACCGTACACTGCTGCGTGCACTTGCTTGCCTTCTGGAGGGATGGACTAGAATTTAGGAGAACTCTTGGAGGCTCTCGAGTTGATGGATTGGGAGGGGGAGGTGCCCCCAAAACCTCTATTACTCTGAGCTCTTCCTTTGAGATCTCCCAAATCCTAGCCAGGTCTGATTCTGCGTAGCCTACAGAAAGATTGCCTAAAGGTATGTGGTGCATCTATATGACCTCTGAGGAGACAAGGGCTGTCTCTTTTATGTCAAGTGCCCCTGTGGTTCCCAAGGAGAGGAAGGAACCCCTTGTATCTCCTTGTGTACCAGCCACACAGACCACTTGCACCCAGTGCTTGTCCCCTTAGCAGCTGCTAGTGGTGTATCACTGGAGCAGCCAAATACACGTACAGAAGGGCTCCCAATACACGAACAGAAAGGCTGTGCCCTCATTCCCGAGGGCAAAGGTGCTGTGGGCCACCCTTGCTGGTGTAAACGGGGTCACTAGCACAGAGGAGCTCCCACTACAACCAGCTTGCCTGGGGTAAACCTAGCTCAGTGGCACTTGTGCATTCAAGCACAGGTCTTCTCATTAAGGCATTTATTATACCTGAAACTTTATCAGATCCTCAGGTAGTCCAGGAACCATCAGTGCCCTCATAAATCTCTTTTATAGAAGGGCTGATCTTTACTGAAAGCAATTAAGCTGGCCCAGAGTTCACTTTTCTTTTTTATTAACAACGAACAAAACCCATCCTGAGGCTGGGAATCAGTTCTTGCACTTGGCTCTGTTCCGTTTTCATCTTATCAGTCCTTCGAACAAGCCAGCAAAGAATTTTTCTTTGTGCATGAGGTACAATATTTTTTTGGCAGGGCCTGGGTAGGAGCGGGCTGGAGAACAACACGGAAGGGGTGGAAGAAAGGAACAGGAAGGACATTGTCCCGGCTCTGAGGGCTGGGTGGTGATAAGCATTTGTCACAACAGCAGTCTGTATTCAGGGCTATGGTAGGGCTCTCGCTTTAAAATGAAATATCTCTTTTCCCCTTCCGTTCAGAGCATGGGTCTTAGCTCTGTGCCCAGAGATGCGACCCATCTGAGACAGGCACCGTCTCTACGAGTCACAATATAGAGATGTATCCAGGCAAACCTGGGCAGTTTTTGAACCCAATAAAATGCAGTCATTTTTCCAGGTTTCCCAGTAATTAGGCTGGAAATCCAAGTGTGTTTACCTCCTTCCACTTCACTTGCTGTAAAAGGGAAGGGCAGAGAGGCGAAGGAGGATGTGACCTGAGTAGTCAAGAAAACTGGTAGTGTTGTGGGGCGGGTAAAAAGAAGGGAATCCAAAACAGAGTGCCATACGCAGGCAGGCTCAAGGCATCTGCGTCTAATTTTTGAAGCCTCGTTTTTTGCCTTTGTGGCCTCAGCCTCACTGAGCATGGCGCCGGAGCTACAATGGCAGGGCCCGTCCCAACTGCTGCCAGCTAAGTACGCTTGATGCCACTTCAGCTCCATCACTTGAAGGGTTAATAACACCCTTTCTCTGGATTCCTCGCCTGATGGCAGCTGGGCTGAGAAGTACATGATCTCTAAGATCTTTTCTTGTGGTTTGCCCGTTGCTATGGGCTGGGCTGTATTCATCTCCTGGAGACACCATTCATTTCCTGGGTGCCATTGTGAGATTAAATATATAACCCGGTGGCTGCTCACCCGCCTCCCGGGGGCTGGGAATGCCAGTTTGGGTCCTTTGTTTGAGCTTGCCCTGCCGTGCTGTCCTGGGAGATGGAGCCAGCTCGTGGGACAATGGAAAGCATTTTGTTTCTATCCTGGAGATCAACCTGTTATTGTTTGAAACTAAAGGGCCTTGGTAGGGTTGACCCAGCCAGGTGACCTGGCTGGGACAATGTCTGTGGCTGCACAGTGCAAATCCCGCCTTTGTCTTAGCATGCTAACGCAAACCCTGAGATCCCCAGCATGCCGTAAAACATCCAGCGTGCTGCTTGTAAATTGACTCTTAAGTTCTCTATTTACCTGAGCCATAAAAATATACCTCTCTCCTCCCCATGGTGCAGAGCCCAGGGGCTTTTTGAGGAGCTGGATGTGGTCTTGGTGCCCTGTCTCCTCCAGGTTCACATGTCTGTGCTTTCATATTTTGTCCAGCGCATGCAAGACACTGTAGATCTTGCTGTGGCTGAATGTTTTCTGTTTCCTGGCCAAAACCTAGCACACAGGCTGCGGGGAGGAACGGCCGTTCGCTGGGAAACATGTCGGAGCACGACACACATGCCTGTACATGCATGCTGCATGTGTACGTGCATTCATGCCGCGGTGGTGCGCTCAGCAATTGGCCGATGAAATGGTAAATATTTGAGGTCGGGAAAGTCAGCACATTCCCTGAACTCTGCCTGCTTGTTCAGGCTGTTAAGAGCGAGGGCTAATATTTGAGAGCACCACACCCATGCGTGGAGAGGGCTGCAGCCAGGGTTCAGCTCTACAACCTGGGCACACAGGCAGTTGGAAGCGGGCACAGGCTTTTCCAGCCCAGTTCCCAGCTGGCTGAGAAGTTGCACAATTTAATTGATTTCAGTTCAGGAATAGGTGTGTATGGGCAGGAGTGGGGGAGAGGGCAGAGGCATTACATCACCCAGATGCTCTGAAGAAAACACAGTGTTTTGTGTACGGAGAGCTGCTGCAGGGCTGAACTTTGAGGCAAAGAGCGTTAGATGGTTTCATGCCCCCCACACCTGTATGAGCAGCAACACCTTCCACAGGAATTTTTGGCTTTTTAGTTAAAAAAATAAAAACAAACAAAAAACTCACTCAGAAAAATTTTTAGCCAGAAATGCTCCAAAATCCAACAGGAACTTGAACAGCACTAGAAACCAAGCCTAGAAAGCAAAGTGGGGCAGAGAGGGGGGCACATGGACAAGACCTGGTTACTGCAGCTCAACAATTTACGGTCCCTTGGTGGCTATGGATGGTGTACAGCAAGTGCACCCTGGTAGTGCAAAGCACCAGCGTGGCCACGAGCCCTGTTTTGCAGCGGGCAGCCCTGGGTGCCCTCCAGGGCCTCCCAAGGAGGACGGGCATCTCTGAGAGGATGGGTTGGGTATTCAGGAGGCCGGGCAGTTGCGTGTCCACATAGGCTCTTGAGCGGCGGCGGGGCTGTACTGTGCCTGTGACCTGTGGCTCTTCCTCGCAGGTGAGAAGCCCTATAAATGCACATGGGAAGGCTGCGACTGGCGCTTTGCCCGCTCCGACGAGCTGACCCGGCACTATCGGAAGCACACGGGCGCCAAGCCCTTCAAGTGCATAGCCTGCGGCCGGTGCTTCTCCCGCTCTGACCATCTGGCTCTCCACATGAAGCGGCACCAAAACTAGGAGCCGCCTACGTTCGCCACTTCTCCAAGAGCAGCTGAAACTCTTTTCTTTTCCGAGGGGGCCTCTCCTCTTCTCGTACATAGGAACAAACCCATGCTGTGATCAACCGGCAGGGCAAGGGTGGTGGGCAAGCCCCCTCTGCAAGCCCTGTCCCCAACTGTTTCTGGTTTTCAAAAAAATCTCATTAAAAAAGAGTTTTAATTACAGACTGATCTCATGACGAAGCTACCGGCAGCGCTGGGGCGATGGACCTTGGATTCCAAAGGGCTTTCTTCCAGCAAACCTGCTATTTATTTGTCACTCAGGAGCAACTGTCCTTCATGTCTCAAGCTCTTTGGGATTTTTTTACCCCTTTCGGGGCAGTGCCTTTGGTGAGCCTGAGGAGGTTGTGATGGGTTGGTAGCCTGGCCGTGCGTGAGAGGTCTCACTTCAAACTGTCGGTGCAATCCTCTTGGACTGCCCCATGGCATGGCCGTGGTACCTCTGATGTGCGAGAACAGGAGCATGTGCCCAGGGCTGTTTGGGTTGACAGTCCCGGTCTCTGTGGGGGCACAGACGAAAGGGCCTATGACATACTTACCTGACGTGCCTTCAAGCAAAGGACAGCACAAAAGCAGATGACAAAAGCCATCATCTGTGTCCCCTTGAGCTCACCTGTGGTTTTCTGGCAGCCAGCTCACTCGGGGCTGCGAATATCTGCCCTGCTTGGCCAGGTTTTTTGGTTGTGTCTGTAGCATTTCTGCTTCCAAGATGAATTTTGACTTCAGGTGTCTCTGGGAGGACCAGCATGGGTCTTGAAGCCACCCAGAGGACTGCAAAAAAGCCACTGATAAAGTTCTGGTTTCCCAGAACACACTGTGCCTTTCTCCAAAAAGCACTGGGCAGGCTCTACTCATGCCTTGAACATGCACACAAGGAATCAGTCATCGCCAATCACACCGGTCTTTTGCTGTTGCCATTTCATCACATTCAGACAGAAAAGAAAAAAAGAAAAAAGCATCTTTGAAAAAAATTCCAATAAATCCTGCTGTTCAGATTGTAATCATGTTACCTACCTCACAGGTTCACTGCCTTGGGCTCCGTAAGGCACCTTCCCTCTTCTTCTGTGGGGTGCTGTGACGCGTGGGGCACATCAGCCATTCTTCAAAGTCTACCGGGGGTTAAACTTAGGCAGAACAAGAACCAGGCCATGCCAGTTTAAACAGCAGCCGTGCAGGTAATAAATAAATCAGGAGCAAATAATGGGCCCAGTGTGTTCAACAGAATATTGATTTCCCCCACACCGTCCTCCTCTTTTATTCTTCCTCAAACAAATTTAAGTAACACGCAGGCTGATGCGCATCTGCAGTGTGAACTGAAAGGCCACGCCAAACTGTGGCATCTTCAGGTGGTAGAAATTTGAAGGCCACCCCTCTCTGCTATTGCCAAACCGCACATTAGCCAAAAACCGTAGCTGGGTTCCTGGTTGTCCTTTGCCTTGGATAAATAAAACTGATCACACCTGCGGTGCACGTAGCTGGTCTGGTGTGACAGGAGAGGAGGGCAGGAAGGATTTGAGGGGGGTGAGGTGTGCGTGCTGTGGTGTAGGCTTTGGGATGGATGATGTGCCCGGGACTAGCGGTGCAGCGCTGCAGTGAACCCTTTGTGTGGCTCTTTGGCAAGAAGCCTCCTCTTTTCTCCATGCCACCAGGGAGGGTGGGAATGGAGGGGTGAAGTCAGGCCACTGAATTGCTGGGAGCCGGCTTGGGTGACTTTCCCTGACGGTGCGTGGCAAGGGCTTTCCAGACCGCAGCACTGGGGTCTTTGCCTGGCTGGAGGGTTTGATGACGGCACCCTCTTGACACCGCGTTCAACTGAGGATTGGAGAGCCTGGCTCTTAAATCAGCTTTTCCTGACCATGTGTATGTCCTCCATGTTCTTTTTCCAGCTCTTTCCTTGCTTGTCGTCAGGATCGGCAGGTGCTGGTGCAAATGGGCTCGTTTGCCATCTGCCTTGTTGGCTGTGGGGTCTGGCTCCTCTTCAGGGCAGAGAGCAGGACCTTGCCAATGCCACCACTGTGACCTGGGCTCCTCCTTTTTCCCACTTCACCTTGGAGGTTGGGTTGAGCTATATGAGTGAGTAGGGCATACAGTGCCATCTTCCCCCCCAAAAATGGGGGGGTAGGAATGGTGCGTGGCCTTAAGCCTCCATGCAGGGGACAGTTTTACCTCTTGCTTCTGCTTTGAGATGGGCCTGGAGAGCCTCAGGGAAGGTCTCTGATGATGGAAAAAACCCTCGGAGAACGGCGGTGGTGCAGGGTGTAGCAGCGTGCTTGTCTGCCAGCACGGCGGGTTGAGCTCACGCCAAAGGAATTTCAGGGTAGCGTGGAGATGCCTCAGCCCCACCGGTGTCTCCAGGAAGCTCAGGCTGGCTCGATGGGGCTGGTGGGGACCCAACGCAGCCGTGCTGGGACCTGCTGGGCTCCACCCGGCTTTGCTGGCACCCGTTCAGCTCTTCAGCGGGTGAGCCCTGGCATGGCGAGCCGGCGGCACCATGGTCCCCGCGCACCCCCCCCACGGGGAGCCAGCAGCCCCCACGGCTGTAACTGCAACCTCCACGTGGGAAGACCTTTTTTTTGGTGTATCCTTTGTGGTTGAACCTCCTAAAGGTGTGAGCCAAACTACAGGGCACAAGGTCAGCCCAGCCGCCGCCTGTGCCATCAGGCTGGTCCTGGGGTTAGCCCTCACCCGTGGGCCTCTCAGAGGGGTCTCACTGACCCCCCTCTTTTTTTTGGAGAAGGAAACCTCTGCTCCGCCCTCCCCCACGCCTCCATTTCCATCTCTCCCTCCCCTGCTGTGCTGATGGGGCCCAAAACCTGTTCGCTGAAAAACAGTACAAAGCCAAAACAACCAACAGGCAGCTTTAAATCTTAGGGGAATTTTAAATAATTTTCCTGATGATCTTGTTTTTTTTCACTACAGAAAAAAAAAAAATCTATCTGCTCATCCTCACATAGACTCTGTGTGTGTGTATATATATATATATATATATTTTTTATTATTTGATGGGGGTGCAGAGGAAGAAGTGTCTTAACAAAAAAACACCCCAATCCAGTACTACTTCCCAAGCAGCACCACTGGTCTGCATGCAAACGCTGACATGCAAATGTTTTACTAGTGCAAAGGCAACACTTAAAGAAAAAAAGACTCTGAAGGAAAACCACAGCAAGCCTTGGCTTTTATTTCTCTATTTTTGCATGTACAGAAGTGGACAGCCTCTAACTTTGCATTTCATTGCAGCTCTCGGTGGCTGAGGGCAGCTATTCCCCAGGAGAAAGCCAGGGGAGATGGGGAGTGATGCTGACCTGAGCAAAGCCCCTCTTTTTTTGCTACGGGAGGGACGGCTCGGAGCCGAGTGACATAGCTGGGGGTGTGCGAACCCCAGCTGAATGTGAATGAAGGTCCCTCCATCCCCAGTCCCCTGGGACACTTAGGTGACAGGGACATTGGAAAAGGTTTGCAAGCCCAGGAGGCTTTGCAAGCTGGGTTTGGTGCAGAACAAATGCCAGTCTGGCCGGGAGGCGGGTGCCTCATCTCTGCTGCGCGTGTATCATAGCGGGGGAAAAAAAAAAATCGCTGTAAATAGGAAAAGAGCACTGTATCGCTTTGCGGGTCTGCGTGGATTGAAAGTGATCGTTTACTGTCCGAGATGAACACAATGTGAAAAAAAAATTGGGACCTGGAAAACTTGGGTGGAAGGTTTATTTTTCCGGTGATGCTCTTGTTTGTTACATAACCCCTCTCCCCCTGAAACTCCCCTATGACTATTAATCTATCTCATATTTTGTAATAAAATTTTATCACGTGGAGACATGGTCTTTCTTCTGTTCCCTCCCATTGGAAATGCTCTTTTTGCCTTTACCTGCTGCTGCCTGTGCGTGTGCTGATTTTAGAGGCTTAAGAAAAGGAAAAAAAAGCTTTTTCGTTAGGTTGGATTAGGAAAATGGATATGCGAGCAGGGGAAGGATCCGTGCATGTTATAAGCCTGGAGCACCAGGCAACGCTATTAGTGTTGTTACGTGGCCTAAGCTGACGCTTTGGAGGAATGGCGAGCCCTTTCTCAAACCGATGTTGCAATGCTGTGCAAAGAAAAAGGAGGGGCAGGACTTTTTTTTTTTAAAAATCCCCTCCGCCTTTCACTACGTGCTCCCAATTTTTGCCCTGTGAGGGGAAAAGGGGGCATCTGCAGGCCAAGTGGGTCAGAGGGAGCAGGAGGGCCAGGCAGAGGGGAAGAGAGAAGAGACGGGGGGGACACAAGGAAGTGCTGGGATGGGGACACGGTGTTCAAAATCCCCGTCTGTGTACTTTTGTGTATATATATACACACATTTGTACATATGCAAACAGCCGGCAGGGGTTCAGCCGAGGGCTGTTGAGCTCATGCCTTTTGCTTGCATGCACCTGCACGCACATACGCAAACACCTACAAATACACATCTGTTTCTATAGGCTGAACTAAACAGTTCTTTATAAGCCGTTCCTGGCAGGATCCCATCTGCTTTCTCCAGCATCTTTGTGACCACTTCCCGCAGTCGCCTCCTGGCCTGGCTACGCTTGCAGGATCATGACGCTTATTCCATGTTAAAAACAACAACTCCCTGTTGCTTTCCAAAGGTCTTGCATTTCAGCTACATTTTTCATGAAGAAAATCCTCTTTCCCTACTGATTTTGTTCCCTTGGCTCGAACTTGATTACGATGCTGAGATGAGTTGTTTTACATCCTTCTCCTGTAGCTTTTAGACCCTGTTGACAGTCCCCAGGGACTGCACTGTTTTACTTTCCAAGTCTTTCTCCGCTCTCGTCTGTTTCCAGATTTCTCCATCACTTGAAAAATAACTTGGGGACTGAGATCTAATTAAGATTAAGGAGGCAGGGAGAGCAGGACATCGAGCCACACACCTTCTCTTCTTGTCACCCCCTTGCAGTTACAAAGTTTTGCTGCAGATTGCCTGCGCAGGGAGC